TCTCCTTTCAGGGGATGGGCAAAGAAGCAAATCCAAGGTTATGAAAGAAACAAGCCCATAAAGGAGTCTTTTGATGATGTAGAAACTTGTTTTTCACAACAGCACAACAATTCTATACCTTTGTCTTTTTTCTTTTTTTTAGCAATGTTGGCTGCTTCACTTGTAAGTCCTGCCAGGCCTTGATATGTACTTGGATTTTAGAATGCAGAGAAATTAGGAACTTTTCCAGAAATCCTACATTTTAAAACAACATATGGTGAATTCTTAATTAAAAATGATGGTTTGAGAAGTGTTTTTGAAACCAGTCGGTTAAAATCACAAGACAAAAGACAAAATATTGTGGGAAGATTAGAAAGATTCTTTTGTGCTTGTTGCAATTTGATGAGAATGATTTAGCATTATTACTAAAGGGAGTTAGTTAGTTGTTGGTTGTGTGCCATAGGATTATTTTCAATTAAAAAGGTTGGGGAAAACTGTATTACAGCTCTATAATTCTGAGAGTTTTGAAAACGGGTCCTGCTCAATTGAAAAAGGGCAGTAAAATTAACAAATTGTTTCTTATGCATGCATGTGTTTCTTGCACTCACAAAAATCCATATTTTTTTAGTTGATTAACAAGATTTTTTTTTTAAAGCGATCACCATCAAACTTTTGTTTTCAAGCTGTATGTACCCCTTAAACATTCATTTTACTTCTTGTCCATATTGTGTTTGTACTTTTTGTTGTGATATTTTCAAAACTAGCCAGCTCTCAAAACTATCCAACTTGTCACCCCACCCTACTCTTCTAAAATTGGGCAACTCTATTCTTGGATTTTCAGACATGTGGCCCCATGCCAGCCTGCTGATAAAAGACTTGGACTTCTCTAATAGGTGTTGCATTGCCCCTCGCTCCACTCCGCATTTCCAACAGATGTGTTTCTTTGCTCTGCTCGGGCTCAGCTGAAGTTCCAGGAGACACAAAGCAGCGGCTGCCTTGTGCTAATGAATGTCAAATCAAAAGCTGACCCATTTAGAAAGTTCCTTTGCACCTATGATGGGCCTGCAGCAGTCTCTTCAGTCCATGTTTCCAGCTGTGTACTTTGACCAGGATCAATGATGATAAATGCAGAGAGATGTGAGGAGAGCTCTGCTACTTCTCCAGTGTCGTTTCATGTGAAGAACTCTGAGGCTCGGTGCAATTTGTTCAACACAGATTGTGCTTTTTAATGATGGATGGAAATAAGATGGACAGGGCACATGGGGATGCAAAAATAACTAGTAAAGCACTCGCAGACATCCGCTTCCAAAATCTTGGATCGGGGCGGTTTTCTGGATCATCTCCAACTTCCAAAGAGTTGTTTCTTGTGCCTATGATGGTAACTAGGGCTGTAATTAACGATTATCCTTAGAATTGATTAGTTAGACCAATATTCTTTTATTAATCAATTAGTTGTTATTCTGAAAGGTCCATGTGTCATTTTTCACTTTTCACCAAAACAAAACTTAAGGTTTGTTTTGGTGAAATGTTTAAGTAAAACCTAATGTCCCTAGAGAAGCACATTCATTTAATTCTATAATGACTTTCTACAGTCATTATAGAATTATCTGAGTCCTAAAACCTTTTCTCAGCATGATTAAGTCTATGTAGGGTTAAATAGTAACATGAATAATCAATTACAACATTTTTTGACACCTATTTGAATATTGAATTAGTTGCGATTTATCTATTAACTCAGTATGTTCCTATTGCTAACAGAAATAGCTGCCTTGGCTTGAGTAAATACGGTTAGCAAAGGTAATAATTCTAAAGAAATAAAATCTTGCCAAGTAATGATTATGATCTTCCTGTGTGGAGGGTTAGGGAGCAAATGTTTGTATCTGAAGTTGGCGTGTTACATTCACCCAGAGCCAATATAAACCTCAATCTCTGACCTTCGGCTCTCATCGGGCTCTGTAAATGAGAAGACGAGGCGAGAGAAGTTGTGTAGCCATATTGATAAAATGTCGCCTCCCAAATTAGACGCACCTAACAGCTTTTCTTGCGCCCTTGTCTACTTTGTGCAAGACCACTCTGGCAGGTCTGAGCTGCAGCTTGCCATTACCGCTCCTCTGTGCTTCTAATAATGCACAAACTATAAGAGTTTAGCAATATACCCCACACTCTCACAGCCCCAATGGCTCGCACCGTATGTATGAAAATATGCTGACAGCCTACAGCGTGTAAACATGCTTGTGGAATAGCATTAGCAATGTTAGCCGCGTGGCACTGTATATTTATTTGCTGTTTTTCCCCCAGACATGACAGGGTGAGCACGGAAAATATCCAAACTCCGAGGTATTCCTCACAATATGTCAGCCAGCACCTGCGAATTGTGGCAAATTGATTTTCCAACGCTCATACAAATTGTCTGTTTCTGGGGCGTCCACGGCGGGATACTGTGGCGCGTTTTGAGGCTGGTGTGAAATGTAATTATTTATCACACTGTCAAGTCCCCAGCCCGCGTGCACATGGTGAGGAGCATGTGGTGTTTTCAGCCGTCACCACGGACGGTTGGAGTGGTGTCAAGGATCTTAGCCCATCATACAGCAACAACATTCAACCTGTATTTCATGACAGCAATTCTCCATACAGACCTGTGTGCTGCTGTGCCTCAGAGAGATACCATTAGCACCTCTCCAATAACTTGTTTTTCCCTGGATTGTTTGGGGATAAATTATTGACACTGTAGAATTATGCGCAGGCTGACTCAAGGCACAAGGCTGTTTGAAAAGACATCCCCTGTCTCATTGAGCTTCTATAGTGCTTTTGTTGTGATTTGTGATTTGAAACTTTCGACAATTGTCTCTTTTTTCCTGCCCCAGATAGAGACAGTTATCCACAAATAGCTATGTGCCAACAAGGTTTTTGTAAAAGGTGAATTTCTCAACTGTCCTGGTGGCAAGCCCTCTTTTTGCTTCATCTAAATGTTTTTTTGCCTGGACGTAGATAAAGTTTGTCATTACATTTTCTTTTTACATTGGAGTCAGGAGTCTTGGGAGACTTCACTCGGAGTTACAACGTGTATTTGTGGAGAGGAGAGTTTTTTTTTCTGTAAGAACTAGACATATTATGCTTAATTGACTTTTTGACTGGCAGAAACTTTACTCTGCCCCTTCGGTCGAAAAGCATATGTCTCAGTCCTTTAATAGTATGATGTCATTGTGCTACATTCAGAGAAGTTGTCTGCATTTTAAAACAAAAATAGTTCACAGCCCCTCTACTTTCTGATATAAGTTTTGATTATGCTCAGGAGAGGGACGAGAGGGACAATATTAAATGTTAAGTTTTATTGAAAATTACTCCACCTGATACTACATGCCATGGTCATATGGTCAAAAATTGGTGATATAGACAAAACACGATTGAACAGAGCAGAGAATCGAAAAGTTCCAACACAGGATATACAATATAACACACATGGGATCTGTTGGTCAATGGCAGATATGTCCATTTGTTTTTTATTGAATGTGAACCAACATAGACATGTCATCTATCTATTTATCTATAGCCGTAAACCATTTCCTCCTATTGACTGTTGACTACAAGAAGTTCTGATCACACACTCATTCATCCACATTCACACCTCTTGACCCCGTATGCAAGTGCCACTACGGCGGTGTCATGTCATACCTCATTTTCAAGCTCAGAAAAGCACAAATCCAGTCAATCCGTGTTGTTGGTTAATTTTAGTGAACTAAAGTGGCCTTCCTACTAAGGAAGATAAATGTCTCGGATCATCACTGTCCTTAGACCCTTAGGGAAAGAGATCCACAGAAGGGGGGTCCAGCATGATTCCCAACCTGGGGGTGAGAATATCTGCTTGTACTTTTACAGGCTATAAATTACAGATATACTAATACAGAGGTCATGTAATAAATCGCCGTTTGTTATTGTTCCACTAAATTATTTGAAAACCTACTCTTTGAAGTTGGACAGTATATCGTATAGCATGTTATGGGGTTGTCACCATTTGCCCTTAGCACTGGGAACGCCGTGATGTGTTGTGTTGGCCCGCTCTAATCGCGGCGCCCGCTCCAGAGAGACGTGTGAGTGACAGGCAGGCGGGGAGGACACAGCTGTGATGGCTCCTGTCGGCTCAGTGGCAGCCTTATGATGAATTGCTTCTCTTGAATGATAGCGCTGTTACTGGATGATAGCGGCGGCGGATTGTTCTGTCAGCATGCACCTCGCCGGGCCGCAAATAAATAAATATAGGAGAGAGGGGAGGGGAGAAAACGAAGCGCCCAGCAACCCACCTCTCTGACTTTTTATTTTTCATTAAAGTTGCCATCTCTCGTAGATCTCCATATGCGGCGGGTTGGAACGATGGAACGGAGGGCTGGGGTGAAACGGTGTGCGCCAGAAAATTGCCAATATGGGCTCAACTTTTGATTGATTGAGAGCTGTTGCTTGTCAGGTTTTTACTCCGCAGATTGAGTAAGAAAGCTTGTTTTTGTGAATAGATAGACCAGGTGTATTAAGCACATTTTGTAGCTTACGCAGTGTATTTTTATCTGTGGACAAATATTATAACAGTATCTTTCAGCTCTTAAACCTGAGTGCCTTTGTTCTGGGATTTCCCATTTTGTAACTTGAAATGCAAAAACAAGCAATTGTGGAATCGATTCAACAGTAATATTTTGTACAAGCAAAACGTGTTAATGGAATATAATATGGTAATTGATAAAATTATCTTTGAGCTTTGGAGAATTACTCCTGGAGGGAAACCACTCGGCAAGGAAATTGTTTTGTGCGACTGGCAACTTTTGATTGATTGAAAGCTTGTCTTATTTATGTCTCGCTGTCTTCCTAATATTCCTCTTAAACTACATCAATTATCTTTAATAAGCACACCAGAGCTTTGATGTTCTGCAGCAATATTGAAAAATGCATTATTTGTTATTTCCAGAAATTGCAGTACAATTTCCTGGTGATTGACATTGTGATATTCATTAGATTTCTCTGTGTTGTGTTCACAGCTCAGAAGACTACTACGAATACGGCCAGAGCGGGGAGACATACGAGTCGTATGGTAAGTGCCCAACCACAATAAAAAGCACTCTGTTTCAGCAAAGACAGTATTGATGTAGCTGTAATGGCCTGGGTCAGCTCTTGTTATTTAGCAATTTATTAGAGCAGAATTATTACTTTAAAGGCCAGCAAAAAGATACTGCCTACAAAATTAAATGGATGCTATTATTAAGTAAAGTTTATTGTGCAAATCCAGAATGTAAAATTCTGTACAAGAACACTAGGTATACATATATCGTGTGTTATGTTAAATTGATCAGTCTATGGCCTACAGACATTTTGACATTCTTTAAAATGAATGTAATCTTCACTTAAAATGTTTTCCTTCACAATTCCCAGCTCTGTTGCATGCAGCTGTTGGGGGCCTTTTTGGAGAAGATGTTAAGATTAAGATTAAGAGATCATGTCTTCGCCCCACAGTGGGGAAATTGCAATGTTGCATCACCGGTTACAGAACAGTAGAAATGAGGAGCACACAACACACGATAAATGAAAGATAACTCTATAATTCAATAAAACTTTAGCATAATAAGGATGTAAATCTAAAATCTCCATTGTCCAAAACCTTCATAGGGCCATTGCTTTGACAATCCCCATCAACAGTTTTTCACACCACTATGTATTCCGGACTCATCTTTTCTTTACTGTGTCTGTATTTGGGTCATAATCTGAAATATTAAGCAGAAAAAGTTAGAAGAAAAAAAAATATTTCTAGACAAAACTATGTTATTATTAAATTGAGACATTTGTGATTTTGCTGCATTAACGTTTAATTGATGACTAAAATGGGAAGCTCGATAGTGCAGGAGTTAGCGCTTGTGTTTAGTTTACATTTTCTCACTGTGTCTGCGTAGGATTCCTCCAAGTGCTCCGGTTTTCTCTGCCACTAAAAACATGCACAATAGATTTGGTCAGAGGCTAACACAAAATTATTTAGAGCGCTTTGTGAATTTTTTTTAAGTGAGGTACTCCAGATTTATGCAATTAATTGGTACAGCCCTAATGTTAATACATATCCCATTCCAAAGCACTTTACTAGACAGTTAGATGCCACTCCACTCACTAATCTACACTTCCAACTTTACCATAAAGACAAACAGTACACTGCAAAACATTATAAAATGGGGAAATAAATGCTTGAATCGAGGGGTTTTGTCTTAATCTGAGTACATTTTAAGACTGACTTTCTCAAACCAAGATTTGCCCGTGGGACAAAGCCATTTAGTCTTATTTCAAGAACAGTTTCTTTATTTTCTCATTCCTAAGGAGACATTTCTTGTATATTTTTAACACAAGATCATAGTGTCTTGTCCCATCGGCATATATTCTTGTAAGGCAGTTCGAATGTGCTCAAATTAAGATACATTTTGCCAAATTATAGCAATTTTTGGCTTATTTTTCATTTTTTGCAGTGTAGTAATTTTGATCGAAAAATTTATACATAATATTTCAGATTTGTGACCTGATTCAGATGAGTAAATGGGAACAAAGTCTAAAGGCACAAAGTGGGCCAAGGTCATCCTGTACAGTGCACTGCCGTGTTCTCAAATTTCACTCATTAATATGAAGAGCAGTTTTTTTCACAACCTTTAGAAACCTGTGCTTCTGTGACACACAAATACGCTTCATATTTGTCTGGATATATTATTTGGAAAAACCAATAGTCTCTAGGTTCATTAGAAAACTCCTCACCGCTGCGGCTCTGAAACGGGGAGGGTCACACGGAAAGGTGACAGTTCAAAGACGCACATAAACACAAACACAAGGTTAGCTCTCCGACTGTCTTCAAAGTGACTGCCGCTGAGCCCTGACAAGTCTAATTAAGGTTTATCGGCGTTTGGCGCTGCAGCCAGCCCCCGCGAGAGGCTGAGCGCTGGCTGCGGATCAGACAAAGGGTGCCATCGATACGGCTTCACGTCAGCGGCACCACTAGGGCTGAACTCCACACACGTTTCAGCCTAATGCTAATGGTGGGCCTGTTCTCCCGGAGCCGGTAAATGCTCTTTTTCAACAAGCTATTTCAGTGGTTCTTTCAATTATCGGAAAAACATCCTCCCAGGTGAAAGGTGGAGGAGCTCTGTTGTGTGGTGAAAGAGCTTTTTGTGGATGTCAATAGTATGGACTTAAGCGAGTTCCAACAAGAGAAGGTCCACAATGAATTAGTCTCTGTATGCAATTAGTCTATTAAAATTATACAGCATGACATTTTTGGGTACACATACTGGTAAATAATTCCCTCTTTGGAATTATATGTTTATAAGAAAACTCTTGAATCTGTCCAGGACCTGTGTCTGTCCTCTGCGATGACTGCTGTTGTGATTTAGGGCTATGCAAAAATAAATGGTAAAAAAATTCAAAATACACTAAAATTAAATTAAAATAAAAGCACATGAATATACATGTTAGGCCCTATCCCAAATCCAGAAGAGGGGGATCTTGTGGGAAGTGGCTCAGTGGTTAGCACTTGTACTTCACAGCGAGAAGGTCCTGGGTTCGATTCCACTTCCAGGCCTTTCTGTGTGGAGTTTATGTTCTCCCCCGTAGGTTTTTTCCCCTACCACTAAAAACATGTACAATAGTCCCCCATAACACCCTCCCTGCCCCCATTTTCATGACCCCTCTGAAAATGAGATTCTGCAATCTCAGGGCTTTATTTTCCTTTAAATAAAGGCCAATAATATTCAGAGAAAATACATTTCCATTCAAAAACTGCTCTAATAAATTAAATGTAAGGCATGTTTATTTGGATAGGACAATTTGTACACAATTCAATGTGCTTTGCAAAAAGAAAAATCATATTCAGTACCCGCAGGGAAATTTGACCCATCCTAAATGCCACTCTGGCCTCTATCAAAAGCACTGCTTGGTCAGGACCAGAGCTGGAGAATGTTACTCGTCTACAGGTTTTTACTGATAGTGGAAACCGGAGCACTTGGAGGAACTCCACTCAGAAAGGCACTTCTCCGACCAGGATTTGAACCCGCAGGAACTTCTTGCTAAGAAGTGAGAGTGTTTGTTTATAAATGATAACCACTCATTTCATCAAGTCCTCAGGTTTAGACTTGATGAAACGAGTGGAGTCTGATGTGCACTGCGTGGTTGGAATGAAAACTGGGTGCCACACAGCCCTTTCTGGATCGACTTTGACCCCCTGAGATACACCACATCTACACTGGAACAAAACTAATTATAACAGCACAGGGGAGTAATGGCGTCCAGGCTCTGTGCATACAACAAAACGATATCGTTACTACACAACAGTACAAAGCCATTTAGTGCATGGAATTAACTTTGTAAATGAAATCTTATTGTCAACATTTGCATACAGCACATGGGCCTCTGGAGATGTGTCGTAAACACATGATTTAAGAGCAGTCTGCGATCACACTCCATCTGTTTGTTTTTGTTTCCTCCCTAATCAGGTCAGGAAGAATGGGCAAACAGTCGCGGCAAGGCACCATCGGCACGCAGCACCAAGGGAGCGTTCAGAGAGCAGCCCTACTCCAGATATTGAACTGTTTATACCAGCGGCACCCAGGCCAATCCAAGTAAAGGATTTTTTATGGACGCTCTCACCTTTTTACAAGTGAACAACTAAACTACACAGAAATATATGAACATGTCATAATGGGACAGTAGAAGAATCAAACATGTTTTTTTTTTCCAAATAAGGCCTCCCCTCATAATAAAGCATAGTCCCACTGAGTAATGTGTAGACGGTTATGTTTTCTGCAGGAGACAGATCATGAGACTAAGGTCAAGCTCACTCATTGCATTGTTTTTATAATTTTCAGAATTTAAAGAAGCTTGTTTCAGCTTAAATTTCCCAAAATCTGCTTTTTCAATGACACCATGTCGTTGTAGCAATAATCCTTTGGTATTTTAAAGACCTTATGACGGGTTTTTAAAAAAAAAATTGTGGATATCAAAATTGCATGACAATGTCAATTTGAAAGAGATTCCGGCAAAAAAAAGCCTATATTTTATAAAAAGAACGTGTTTTTCATGAATTTAAGTTGTCTATGCTCTAACCTGTGTGTGACGTCACAGCGGGTTACGCCCATGCATTGAAAACCATGGATCTATGCCACAGGACTGCCTTTTCTCTCTTATCTCCACTGATGCCCAACACAATACTGCCCTCTACAGGTGACAATTGCTCACTACACATAAATTGCCGTTTTGAGTGTGAAAAAGTGCCCGAGGTGGGATTTGAACCCAAGTATCTGGATTGGCAATCGACACAACCACTGGACTATCTCAGTGTCAACGAAATGTTACATTCTAGTAGTTATTTTAGACTCGCTGTACACGGCCTTGTCATCTTGAAGATCCGCGAAAAAAGAACGAATACCAAATTGTAAACAACTTACAGCGTTGAAACGTACCCGTTCTGACGTCACCAAGGCCCAAGGGCTGTGAAGTTTTTTCGTTTCTAAGGGCGTTGCTATGGGGTTATTTCGATTTGGGGGGATCAGACAAAAAAAACAACAACTGATTTTGAAACCTTTAGTAGTTCTCTTCTAATATAAAATGGTATTAAAACTGTATTTCTAAATAAATCAAACCCGTCATAAGGTCTTTAACTTAAATTATCTTGATTATATATACCAGCCCCATAATTAGACATTTTTCATCATCATTAGAGCAAAGGTTTTCCCACCGAAACAACCACATTGCTTTCTGATGGGTCCAGTTTGGATCAAGTCCCTCTGTGGATGGAGATTCTGCCAAAACAAATCCACCGAGCTTGTGCACAGTCTGTGTGGTCTCCTCGTCTCTACACGTCTGCTTCTCTCTTTAGATTGACATAAGTGAAGGCTGTGCAGGTCCCACGTGCACTCTCGACTCTGTGTGGTCAACAACACACTGTTATAGTCACAGAATCAGTCTCAGTCACATAACTTTATCATAGTAATAATACTAATGCAACGTTTTGGGCCACTGTCTTCGTACAGAACCCCAATATCAGACAGAGACCATGGAGTGATGGCGCAGTGCAGTGTGATCCACCAGCCTTTACTAATGAGCTCTATATAACATCTATATATATAGTATGTGCGTGGACTTGGCCTTAGCACTCTGAAGTCCTCCCTCCGCTCTGCTTAAGTGTAGAATGGCATTGTATCTCACTTTTACTCGCCGCCTAAGTGGAAAGTCAGTACAATGTTTCTGCACCTGCCTGAGCGGCTCCAAACAGCGTGTTCGATCTCTTTCAGATGTAGTTCCATAGCTCTAGGAAAGTGCAGTATTGTAGATAAATCTTTTTTCCTTCTCTCTGGGGAATAACTGCTCATGTCTCTTGTGAATTCTACCCACTTTAAAAAGAGCATAAGTCCTAATGTACGTATACATGTATTGCTGTTTCATTCTTTTGTAAACAAATAGATCTTTAGTGTTAAAGGGCTTATAAAAGCATGGTGTCGTCTGTGAATGTTTTCCATCCTCTTAATAGTTGTGTTTGATCATGGGCCTCAAAATTCTACTTTAAAATGTCTTATAAATAGTTTGTGTGCAAACACAGTCTCTGAGCTTTCTCTTTCTCTGTGTGGCGTTTTTAGTCTCAATGTGCTTTTTCTTTTTAATAAGACTTTTTTGACTTTGTACAGTCACAGTAATGAAAGTAGTTGCTCTAAATCCTGTGGCTACTGGAACAATTTTACATCTCCAGATTCTTTACGCTTATGTAAGCCCTTTAATATTTTCTTCTTTGTTGATGCTAAATAAACATTTTGAAAGTAAACATTTGTGTCATAGAGAATACTTATTAGTCATAAACACATTCATAATTTAAACTAACCCATTTGATAGAAATGCTTGAATTCAAACACAAACAGATGCAGCGGACAAAAACAATTAAAATGTGATAAATAAAACACATGAAACTGGAAATCTAAAACCTGTGGTAGGACACCAGCCCCTGACCTTGGGGCTGACTCAAGATAAGGACGTATTTGCAATGCATTTTCAAACAAATCTTTGTGCTGGAGCTTAGCGGATTTAGCGATAACTCTTGAAACTCCATCATCTCTGTTTGCTCGTATAATTCGCTGTGACGCCGAGGCCTCGTCAGTAAACACGCTCAGAGTGACACAAAGCCTCCTTGACCAACAGTAAAGATGGCTGCTCTCTTCCTGCTGTGCTGCCCTCCGTTAAGAGACTAAATGACCCCGTTGACATCCGCAGAGAGAGGATGGCAGTAGCAGTTTAAAAAGGTAAACCACCTAACCCAGTCTAACCTTTCCCCTAATAACCTGGGCTTTATAAACCTACTCTAAACGTGACTGTAATGTGTTCGATATACGGAACGACTATTAAATAGTTGTAATAACCTCAATGTAAACACGAGATAAACAGCAGTAATATCAAGCTAATATTTCCCATGAAATAACCTAATTCCAGGAGTTTGATTTAAAAATTGATATATATATAATATAATATATACATATTCAACTTCTGATAATGATTGTCACTGTCCTGTGTGTAACAAGGAGAAGGTCAGTCTGTGGTTGTGCTCATCGTCTTGTTTTTATTCCCTTCTAGGTCATAGTCCGGAGCACAGCAGCCCATGTGTCTGAATACACAATTCCTTCTGCAGGTAGGTCCTCCTCTAATGCATGTCAAATGTCAGATTTCACATGGAATCCATTTAGTTTAACTATCATTAAAGACTCACAAACACTGAACGGTCCTGTTTATAAAACATGTCTTGCTTATATTTTTATAACACATCACTCCTGTCTCAGAAATCCACAAAGACGATGTCCAGGTGCTCAGGTCAATGGAAGTTCACTAAAATCAGTGAACATCAATTTAAGATTGAGGTCATATCTATTTGCTTTTCTCAAATCTCCCCGTCGTTCTGAGGCCGTGTGCAGAGGACATTTATTATGTATTGCGTGTACTTAGGGTCCCCTGGTCCATTCTGCACCACTCCAGTCTGAGTCCCCTCTACACAGTGTTGTACAAACTCAATCTGCAGCATTCAAACCAATTCAGTGATAAGTGCAACATGTCCATTTGTGTATTTTGGAAGCGTCTGAGCATGTACCACTCCTCTTGTTAACACCATCACATCCTGTCTGTATCTTCCCTCCATCTTCACTGCTGAGCACGTCTAGCCACAGACCCTTCTAATGACGCTCCACTCATCCACACTCCTCAGGAAGTCTCAAAATATGATATTTCAGAGAGTCTGAAGTACCACACTCAGAATCTGCGTGTGACTTTGAGGGTCTTTCACCGGGCCTGAGCATTGAGAACATATTTTGGTCTCACCTGGAGTTGTGTTACCCTTGTTGGCTGTTCTCATAGGAGCCTACTTCCCACTGTGGCTCTGTCTTTGTACCTTTGTACGCAATTAGTGTCTGAGAGCGGTGTCATTTGAACCAGGGCGACGCCACCGCTGTTCCTGCACTCTGAAAATGAGGCCCAAAGCTTTCATTAAGAGGAGAAATGCAAAGGCAGGCTGATTATGCTGACAAAGGGGACGGAAACTGTAACCTTGAAACGCACATTTCAAAAGGCAGTCAAGTTTGCGTGAGGTGGTGTGGGGTAATTGTGAAGAGGTTGTGTGTGAAGTTTTGCAGAAAATTAAAAAAAGTATAGATTATAAACGCAATATTATATTATAAAAATTATATGTAAATTATTTGCTCCTACTAAGGTTATAGTTGATGGTAAATAAATACACATAGCAACCGTTTCCAGGGACATCCAAATCGACTTTTAAAGGACAATGTGTATGATTATTATTCTTTTTTAATTTTAATCTTCTTTATCTATTTGTCTTAATGTACAAATCATATTTGGCATGTTCTGATCAAAATGTTAATGTTGATTTATGGCCAAATTGTTTGCTAACATGAAAGTAGATAATCCAGAAAGCAGAAGAAGTCTCTCATTTGGGTTGCCAATTTGTTTGGTGAAATCCAGATGTCGTGTGCTGCACAACACAATTAAAAACAATTACACGATGTTCCTTTAAGAACCGTGTTTTTCTTCACAAGTCCCCATTCAAAGGTGTTTTCTGAGGGATTTATCCGTGTCTGAGTAATTAAAATTGTTCCACATGGAAAATCCACTGCTCCAGTGATCCTCCTTGTACAATACACTTCCAGCTCCTCTGTGATCTGTCGACACTTTTTTGGGATTGGTCCAAATCAATAGACATTTTCAAAATTGAAGTTATTGAAGCTGTTTATTTCATTGATTTTGGTGCAATATTGCCATTTCAAATATATAATAATGAACTCTTGGTGTCTATCTTTGGTGCTTTCATATCTCCATAAATGTATTTGCCCTGATTGATTCACTTAAATGGAACTCTGGTTCACTTAGGTCTAAAGTGCAAACACACACACAGACAATAAGTCTTCTAAAAACTGGATACATTTTTTTTTTGACTGAATGATGTCAAAAAACTGGCACTCAAATTACAAGCAGTGATAACATTTGTATCAAAAACCAAAATATGTTATGTTAAGTATAACATATTTTGGTTGTATAAGTAAATAAATATGTAAAGTTAAAACAGAAAACAGAGGCTGAGGTACGGACCATGACATTTTTAAAAGTTTGAATAAGGTGCTCAATCTAAATTTGTTTCTCTTTTTTTACAGAGTGGCCCTTTTTCACCAAGGCTGCAGTGAAGGCTCTGAGCAGCATGGACACAATTGGGACCACTACCATACACTGTATTTGCCATGAATCTTTGACTGAGCCGGCGGTATAAGGCCTGGCTATACATCTCCTGCGGATGTGTACAGGAGCCTGACCTGTCTGTGAACCCGGCCCGCCTTTACCATCCGTGGGTGAGGCCGGTCCACCCCCTTCACAGCTGGACATGAAGCACCGCCCTGGAACCATAAATAATGCACCAGAAACAATATCACCCTTATCCCAAAGACTGCTGCTCTTGTTGATGTGTTCATTAAGCCATTCCACGCGTGCTCTCTCGGATAAATTATTCACCTCGTGCCTTATTGCTGCGTGTTTGTGACAGTTTGAAGATGCTTGGTCCCATCGCTGGAGTAAAGACACCGAAAACTGCTTTTGTTTATTCTCTGGAAAACAGTATTCAGCAGCGAGTGCACTTTGGATCAGAACGCTTCGCCTCGTCGCAGTCGGCACTTTTCACCACAGATTAGGTGTGCGGGGTTGGCTTAGTGACAGTGGCCCGGGTGGTTGTCGTTGGTAACACTAAAAACGCTACACTTTAATTAGGCACGGAAAGGTTACTGGTATTGCACAATTCATACGCAATAAGGAAAGGCACATTGATTCAAATCCAGATGCAAACGTGAAGAATCACAAAACATAAAGGGCATATCTTGTTATTGGTGATGGTCAAAACGGTGGGGCATATTTCAAAATGAACACACATGGACAAGATTTACCAAAAGTGGCTCCAAAAAAACAAGAACAAATTGCTACTATTAGAGGAAATGTACTTGTTTCTAGCCACATTATCTGCCAGTGGATCATGACTTTTCCACTTGTTAAGATTATTTGAATTAAGAAAAAATAGTAATATTATTAAGTGTCTTCAGCCTGCATCAGTAAAGAAAAGTAAAAAATAAATAAAAAAAACGGTGTGATTTGACAAATAAAATGAAAGCAAATTAACTACACTTGTCTATATTTTCACTTTTTGCAGTGCATAAAATTAATAAGAACTAACAAAAATGATAATTGGTGATAGGATATTTGGGTGGCAGCTCTGATTGCCACTTCCCCGACCCAGAAATGGACTAATAAAGGGGATGACAATGACAGGACATGACACGTGACTAACAGAAATAACTACATTGAAAAGGATTGGATGAAGCAAAACATTTATTATAATCCAATCCCCTCCCATTTAGACACATACAATAATAGAATATAAAAACCAGAAGCAATTCCCTTTTCTGCTCAGTTCGGGTGCCACATTGTTTACCTCCTATGTCTTTGTTATTGCTGCATTTCTTGTGTTCGAGCTGTTTCATTCTCTGATCTGTTGTTGGCAAATCGACAACTTTGTAATGTTCTCCAAGACGGCTGTTGTTGTGATTTAGGGCGATTCCAAAATACCTTGAACTGTATTGGTTCCCAAAGTCGGGGGTTGCGTGACATTAGCTCGGTGTCACAAGATGATTTCCACAATATTTTTTACAATGTTTTTGTTGCAAACAATAAATGACTTAAATGAAAATGAATTGATTATGTTTTATTTGAGGCTTCAGATTATGACAGTAATAAATTGTGTCTATCTCAATGACTTACATCTCCTATACTCCTACCATACATCTCTTCATTCACTCACCAATTTCTGTAAAGGTTAAATGCTTAAATCCTGTTGTTAAGATTTTTTTAGGCCTAGTTTTGTCTAATGAGAAATAAACGTTTGAGGGTCCTGATCTCACATGCACTCATTCATACATGTTCTAAAAACCAATGTACAATTTTTATTCAGTTCAAAATTATAACTGCAGTCATCTGGAAGGGCGTTACAGAAAAGTTGATTCGTAAAAAGCAGATTAGAAAATCAAACTCAACACATAAGAAATACATTGGGTTTACCAGTTTCCATAAATGACCCGGATCACACCCTGTCCTTTAGACCCGCCTGCATCGGCTCGGGTAAGAAACAAGTACTAGATCCAAGACAGACTCAAAAAAAATGTCTCGGAAAGTAGCCTTTTATACAGGTGAAACTCAGAAAATTATAATATTATTGAAAAGTAAATACATTTTTGTAATTCAACTTAAGATCAACCACTATATGATACCGGTAGATGATTTTTTATGAAAAATACAAATAAACGTTATAAAAATATAGATGTATATTAGTTTCACTTTGTAAGTTAAATTACAGTGAATGGACTTTTGATCAATATTAAAAATTTTCGAGTTCGACCTGTTTTTAAAAAATTGTGAGGGATTAAAAGTCTTTTCAGAAAGCCTCACTCTTATTGTATCATTCACTACACATAGGCTGATTTTTTTGTCACTTCTTCTCAAGTCTCTGGGTCTCAAGTAAAAAAATGTTTGCTTTAAAACAAAATGCCTCATAATTCTTCATGGCTCAAACTAAAGATAGATTCTTTATTGATCCCCGTAGGAAAAATTCAAGTGTCCAGTCTATTCATGTGTTTTGTTTGTGTGGATGCCGCAGAAACACGTGCATCCACACAAACATAACAAATGAATAGATAGTTCTAAAAATATCTCACAAAAGTATGAAAATGCACTCAGCACCACACACCAAACCCCATATCAGGGTAGACTTCACTACACGCTACATTTCCAAATAATCTTCCGCCCGTGCACTCCTCATCCTCATTGTATCGTGTTCATGAATCCCAATGGACCCGATCCTTTCTGCGCAGGCTCCCATGTCCTCCGCTCGCAGACAATAGTTTTCCATTAGAGCAGCGGATTCCTCGTGGTGCCGCGGGCCAAGCCTCAAACAATAGAGCGGGAACCTAAAGCTGGCATCTTCCCGCTCCCCGAGTCTACTTCCTTTCCCCTCCGCGCAAGTGGCTTAAACTTCCACGCTTATCTGAGCTCGGCCTCCTCTGTTAATAAAGTAAGAGAGGCTTATTTGATTGCGTACAAAAGGAGGAAAGAGTAATCTGTCAGTGCGAGACAAGTCCATTTCAAACGTGGCCGAATGGGGAGCGGGGATTATAATGTTACTGTGTGTGATATGGGGGTATGCTTTTATGGGACTTGCGATTTAATCCGAATGGTCAACTTGTCAATGATTAAAATGTTGAGCTTTTGTTTTGTGTTGCAGCCATCATGGAATAGAATTAGTTATTTATTGTATCTATTTCAAGAGCAACAGTAGTTAGACTGGTCATTTCCAAAGCTGGGTTACAAATGATTCTCAGCGGCTCTTTAGATTTGCATTCTTTCTTTTATAAGAAAAAAGGTCTGAGATATATTATGTGAATAAGTGAATATGTAGTCTACAATTTTCCTTAAAGATCTTCTCACCCCTGCTGCTCGAGGCTTACGCCACTCACATGTCCTGTTCAAATCTTCCTCCAAATGGGTGTAGCCTGGAGGACTAAAGGGGACAGGCGGGGGGGTGAATGTTGGGCGGGTCTAGGTTGTGATTGACACTTGACAATAAAAGCAATAGGGACTAAAACTACAATATTCAACAACAACGCTATTAACACTACACAATATATACAATACAAACAGCTATGTTAATAAAAACCTACCTAAATGCTATAACTAATTGCAAACCTGACAATCGATGAAAATACTCTCTGCTATTCCTTCCTTCCTTCGCTAGGGGGCGTGAACGAGACTGGGCCGTTCACGCTCACTGGGCGGCAGGGCAACTGACGTCAGCCTTCACTGCAGACGTCAGGTATCACTGCAGACGTCAGGTATCACTGCAGACGTCAGGTATCACTGCAGACGTCAAGTATCACTGCACACGTCAGATATCACTGCAGACGTCAGGTACCACTGCAGACGTCAGATATCACTGCAGACGTCAGATATCACTGCAGACGTCAGGTACCACTGCAGACGTCAGATATCACTGCAGACGTCAGGTACCACTGCAGACGTCAGATATCACTGCAGACGTCAGGTATCACTGCAGACGTCAGGTATCACTGCAGACGTCAGATATCACTGCAGACATCTGGTACCACTGCAGACGTCAGGTATCACTGCAGACGTCAGGTACCACTGCAGACGTCAGGTACCACTGCAGACGTCAGGTATCACTGCAGACGTCAGGTACCACTGCAGACGTCAGGTACCACTGCAGACGTCAGGTATCACTGCAGACGTCAAATATCACTGCAGATGTCAGGTTTCACTGCAGACGTCAGGTATCACTGCAGACGTCAGGTACCACTGCAGACGTCAGGTATCACTGCAGACGTCAAATATCACTGCAGACGTCAAGTTTCACTGCAGACGTCAGATATCATGCAGACGTCAGATATCACTGCAGACATCAGGTACCACTGCAGACGTCAGGTACCACTGCAGACGTCAGGTATCACTGCAGACGTCAGGTACCACTGCAGACGTCAGGTATCACTGCAGACGTCAGATATCACTGCAGACGTCAGGTATCACTGCAGACGTCAGGTACCACTGCAGACGTCAGGTACCACTGCAGACGTCAGATATCACTGCAGACGTCAGGAACCACTGCAGACGTCAGATATCACTGCAGACGTCAGGTACCACTGCAGACGTCAGGTACTACTGCAGACGTCAGATATCACTGCAGACGTCAGATATCACTGCAGACGTCAGGTACCACTGCAGACGTCAGGTACCACTGCAGACGTCAGGTATCACTGCAGATGTCAGGTATCACTGCAGATGTCAGGTATCACTGCAGACGTCAGGTACCACTGCAGACGTCAGGTACCACTGCAGACGTCAGGTATCACTGCAGACGTCAGATATCACTGCAGACGTCAGGTATCACTGCAGACGTCAGGTACCACTGCAGACGTCAGATATCACTGCAGACGTCAGATATCACTGCAGACGTCAGATATCACTGCAGACGTCAGGTATCACTGCAGACGTCAGGTACCACTGCAGACGTCAGATATCACTGCAGACGTCAGGTATCACTGCAGACGTCAGATATCACTGCAGACGTCAGATATCACTGCAGACGTCAGATATCACTGCAGACGTCAGGTACCACTGCAGACGTCAGGTACCACTGCAGACGTCAGGTACCACTGCAGACGTCAGGTATCACTGCAGACGTCAGGTATCACTGCAGACGTCAGGTACCACTGCAGACGTCAGATATCACTGCAGACGTCAGGTACCACTGCAGACGTCAGGTACCACTGCAGACGTCAGGTACCACTGCAGACGTCAGGTACCACTGCAGACGTCAGGTATCACTGCAGACGTCAGGTATCACTGCAGACGTCAGGTACCACTGCAGACGTCAGGTACCACTGCAGACGTCAGATATCACTGCTGTGCCAATGTTGGCGCCAGATTCAAAATTCAAATGTAGTAAATACAGGTCGCCTGCAGATGGCGCCTCACAGACGGTTTTAGGCAGAAAGTTAGATCTTTCAACTAATTTACACTAAAGTGACAAAACATTTGCTGATAAACAGTATAAATGAGTGGATTTGAGGGTGAGTTGTCCTTCAAACAAAGTTAACTATTAAACTGTTTTTTTTTACAATTTGGGCGGCTTCATATTTGCTTCTTTTCATAAACAGCTGCTTTATTATTGAAAAATGATGACACACAATTCCTCTGTAGTTTATTTTACCAGACATGAAATTCTGGTAAAATGTTGATATTGTTGTGAAAAAGAAGACTATATTTCCAACATTTTAAAGCACAATGTCCTGGGTACAATTAGATCTAGATCTACAGAAAGGGTTCTTCTCTCTGGAGTTTGCATGTTCTTCCCGTGTCAGGACTCGAGACAAAGAGATCCTGAAATCTAAGTGGGACTTCTCCGGTCAAATACAGATGAATGATATAGCAGCTAAACGTCTTTCACTTGCTAACACTGCGTTACACAGTTTTCACACTATTCTGACATAAAGCATTACATTATCTCTCATGACAACAATATGTTATCGTAAGTATTCATTACAGACTTGAACAAAAGCCATCAATAGCATACAAAACTAATACACAGTTTGAAAAAGGGTTCAAACACTCTCTGACCCTACACCTCTTCCCCAATATCTTTTTTTCCAACTCACTTTTAATTAGGGAGCGTGGAAAATGAAAACTCACGGATAACATTCAAAAAGCATCATCAAAACTTTCCGTCATCTTAAATACCAAAGACGTTGCATTCTCCCCGCCAACCCGAGAAATGGACACTGGGCAGATGAAAGCCTATATGTGCTGCTGCTGGAGTTCCTCATGCAGACAATGTGAAGCTGCCACCTCCTGCCATTTGTCCTGTAATTAAGTGGCTCTGGTGCTATTTCAAAGGTTCAATCAATGTCTCCAGTCTGTAGTCTGCAGAGTGGACGGATCGATCAGTCCAGGCCCAACACTAACGCTAATGGCTCTGGTAGTGTACGAGCTAGCTGCCTGTATCTCTGCTCATGCAAAATTCTTTATTTCTAATTCAAAATCGTCCATATTCCATGTACAGTTTTGTAGTCATATTTATTGTATGGAGTGTTATTTTTTGTTTTTTTTTAAATGGTAAGAAGTCAACATGATATTACATTTGTTTAGCTTTTTATACAAGATTGATTTTGTTTTTTGCTATAAAATCTCTCTATATAGTTCCTGGCTCTTGGTTCCATCTCTAGTTTTCACCTGCATGTACTTTGTCCTCTGTCATCAGCGTATTCAGACAGAAAAGTGAAAAAAAAAAAAAACTGGACCACCCTCACTCAGCCAATCAGCTCCAGCCATAATCATCAATTTTTTTACTGTATATGTATTAGCTATGAAAAAGGTACCCCAGCTTTAGTGAAGCTGCTGTATTGAATTGTATCTTCTTAAAGAATTCATTGTGTCATGGTGACTACTTTTATTATTTAATGTTTTAAAATGTGGAATAATATAAATAATATAATGTATAAGTAAAAACGATAGGGTAAAAAATGTAGGAAACAAAATGTGAAAAAATAAGTACCTCAGCTTTAATGGACTGTACAAGTGCATGGATTTGGATGTCAAAGCAAACTATTACGCCAACGATTCTCTGTGAATAGAAGAAGAAGATTATCCCTAATTCATCCCACAGTTGGGAAACAGTTTGATGAATACACATTTACACTTTTAGACAGAGTGAAATGTAATTCTTGAGAGAAGAATAAACAATGTGTGATTGTCCAAAAGGTCAAATTAACTATCTACCGAAAATCAAAATCAAATCCAAAATCCAACTACATGTTCAGTAATGCCCCTTTTTTAACAATAATAATGATAATAACACATTGTACTTATAAAGTGCTTTTTTGGACGCTTTACTAAGGGACAGATTCTAAAAAAACAACATAAAAGGCTATAATAAACAGTTACGTGTAGGCAGGGGAGTTTGGAGCTGAGATCTGAAATTCTGGAGTCCTATTATAGTATGATTGATATGATTCTTATTTTTTACAGAGACAGTGTAGAATAAACATTCGCCAAAAGGTGAGACCTGTAGTCCCTGAGCAGACTACTAGAACTAAATATTCAATTCAATTAAATGTATTCTTATATGGCCCTAAATCACAACTGTAGTTATGTCTGAGGACTTTACAAACCGTTGAATTTTCCAGCACAGATCAGAGAATCAACACTTCAAACTCAAGAAAAAAAAAACATATAGAGCCATTGGTCCATAAGGGGCAGATGACCAATGTCCATTAATGTTGTTGAAGGTGAGTGCCCTGGATCAACACCACTGTCCTTTTAGTTAGACCCAGACAAGGGTCCAGAGAGAAGTTCCGGAGAGTGGGTGCAGTTAAAGGCCATTTTTATCTGATTCGTTTCTGAGTCGTTTTCTCCATCCTTACAAATTACAACCACAATTTAATATTTCTTTCATTTATATTTTTTTCCACAGTGGTGCTGCAAACCCACACAAGTCGGTTCATAAGGGAATAGTCCCAAGACATTTGATATCGTATCCTTGTATGAAGAGATCAGAGATAGTGTTTTGCGCTGTCTCGGCCCGGTTTGAACAGTGAAACTCCGCATTGAGGCGTCGCAGCGACATAAAGGCTGACGACTGACGCGCTCGTAATGAAGTCTGCGCTAAATTTAGACCTGTTAATTCCTGCGTGCGAGAAACCGCTGGCAACTTGGCATGTTTGTCTACTCCCCCACTTCAAAAACACAATATTATTTACCATGATTGCCGTCTTGTAGTTCACATCAGTCTTTCTAGCAACCTGTTAAATCCTGCATGTGGTCTTAGATAACCCTCTCCGCTCGTGTCAATGTTGCTTTGTTACTTTGTGTTTGACTGTATCTTTTTGTATTTGTGTCTTTTGCCTTTTTCCCTGAAGGAAGCTCTACTTTGAAGTCGTTTGTGAACTGGGAGAAATACTCGCAGATGAAAGGCGTCTGTCTTTGCCCTCTTCAGAACACATGCAGGTGTAAACGTGGTTCTAATGGGCCCCGCGACCACAGAAAAACTCTTTTAGGTGGAAGTGCTGAAAGGGAGAGAACCCAACAACCGTGTTGTCGTTTCAGCGCAGATCGAAAACACGTCACCAGCGTCCTCAAAAATGAACCAATAAACACAACAACATGAAACACTGTGTTATTTTGAATCATTTGTTTCAAATTATTACTTTTATTCCTTATCTTCTGCCATAATACATTAAAAAAACATTTACATTTATTCTCTTGCATGTGTTGTTCCTTATCAATTCAGTCAGCTGCTGTTGTCTGGATCTGCTGTTCCACGCTTCGAACGTCACCATTGACTTTGCATTGAAAGTCACTGCAACACTTGATCCGGTCTGAGCGCCCCATAACTACACCTCACTTTAAGTAAAGAAATGAATAGAATAGGTTCAGTGACTGGTCAAGCACAGACTTTATCAGATTTACACTGTTGATATAGTCTTGTGAATCAGGAGGACTACAGAGCTCCTTAGTCACAATTTATGTGGAAACAATGGAAAATGTTTCATGTCTGCGTTGTTTGCTCAGACAAAACGCACAAATATTTAACTAGTGTGTTATGGTCATACCATGTAAATGAACTCTATACACCACTACAGTTCAAACCAGTTCAACTTTTAAGTCCAGATAGAAGATTGAATATGTGGGTCCAATTGAGCTTCAAAAAGTAAAAACAAATGGGTGTCTCCACTTGTGTTTTGTTAACTCAACTTACCCTTCACTTCCCATCTTTATATATATATTTTTAGTCATTGGAAGCATAACATTGGCCTAAGAGGATTTTAAAACATCTTAAAATATGTTACATTTATGTTGGCCAAACCTGAAGCTGCCCTCAGTAGAGGAAGAACAATGAAAAAGGTCTCAGTGCAGCGCCCGGGACCCATCTCCAGATGTTGATGATTGATCAGGACCACAGCTGGACGGTTTTCACTATTGTGCAAGATTTTAGTGGAAGGGGAAACTGGAGCACCCAGAGTAACCTAAACAGACACAGCAGAGAGTCTTGTTCCAACCAGGATGTTCTTGCTGAGGGTGGTGGTATATCTATGTGTGATCCGGATTTCTCACATAGAAGTGAAAAGAAATCAGGAATAGTTGCCAGATGAGCCTCTGTCTATAATTGGAAATCAAATATATTTTTGTAAGTCTGAACTAAAGTAAACACTAATCTGCGGCTAGATACATTCTTGATTTATTTGAGATGACTGAGTTAAGATGATAAGTTCATTATGAGTGAGTGAAAGTCTGTCCAGGCACTGACCATTCCATCACACACAACAGAAACCTATCCTCAACAGGAACAACGGAGCTGCTGTCAAAATGCTAGTGCTATCAAATATGGAATTAGAATTGTTACAATATTTCTCACATACTGTTTGGACATAAAGTACAGGTGATGTCACATATTTATTATATTGATGTATGTTATGATCTACTATTTGCAAAAAATAGATTCTTGAATTAATAGTCCACTAATTAAGTCATTTCAGTTCAAATACATATTTTAAACAGAAACCACGGAAGAAGTACGTGGAGGACAGAAAGAGAGTGTGTGTGCGTGTGTGTGTGTGTGTGCTTGTTTATTGTTCTAAAAAAAATAACATGAAACTGTCCAGCTACAATCAGAACTGTTGCCATCGCAGTTAATCATTGAAAACTATTTATTAGATTATTATTTAGCGTAGACAAGTCCACCATGACAGTGAACTGCATAGAGATAATGTTATAGTTTTGCCTAAAAATGAAATGTGCTGTAAAAAGTGAGCAGCGCACTGGTGTAATCTGTCTGAAGGTTCATGAAATAAAAAAACCCGTAATAGATTATCTGATATATGCATCCACTGCAGCGAGTGCGAGACTCTCCTTCGCGAGTGCGGCTTCTTGAATATAATAGTCCAGGATTTATAATAGACCTCCGACCTCTCTCCTCGTAATGACCAATGTCCAGGGACCAAAGCATAAAACTTTACACGCTCATAATCATAACTGCTCTGGGAGACGAGGCTCTTCCATCAGAATCCTCCCTCTGCCGCCACTCGCCATCAGCCCGTGAGAAAGACCAGCCACGTCGCAAAACACCGAGATGAAGGCTTCTGGCGAATCTAATTATTATCTTTCTATTATAGATTTGTGATGTCTGAATGAATCGTCACATTCTGTTCACACTGTTATGAACACATTTTTGACATTGGATTTTAATGATTAGCTCTCATAACTATGGCAGAGACTTTTCTGGTTAGTTAAAGGTCAAAAAATAATGGGATTTTGTTCTACTCATGATTAGTAGTTGGATGAAGCCATTTTTTTTAAATCAAGAATTGTCTTTCAAACCTGTTTGTGATTTTAAAGCTCAGGCATCTGACTCTACTATGAATACAATATTTTGTTTGGCCCAATGTTGGTGGGTGTAAAATGGGTGGTGGGTTTTAGTATTTTATTTTAAGTTTTATACTTTTATGCATATTGTGTGTGTGTTTTTTTATATTTTGAACTTTTTTTTTAACCACCCGAAGCACCCTGGCTCCTCACGTGACAGCAAACAGTTAGAACCCCTGTGCCTTGGGTACAAAATTCGATGGAGAGGAGGAGGAACCCACAGAACGGGACACAGGGCCAGATACGGTGGAGGTGAAAGCCCCGTGGTCTGAAGCCCCGTGGTCTGAAGGCCCGGGCTGTGGTCACCAGAACGGAGAACGAGGAACTTAAGGACTCAGCAGCAGCAGATTTTAGCATGTGTTATTATCCTTCTTTCAGCCATGTTTTTAACCCCCTTTTTTGCGTAGATCTTTATTGATTTTAGTAAATCATTTTTACCTGGCTTTTAATTCAGTGGTCTCTTTTTTTTAAAGAACCCACATCCTACAAAAAGTAAACAGTTGGACCACAACAGTCTTGAATTCTTTTGTATTCTTGTGATTCTATAGAGCCCTGTGAGTCAGCAGTGTTTCATACTGTGGGGGGAGAGCAGAGTGACTGAGTGAGGGTGGACCTCTCTTTTTCACTTCTCAATTCAATTCCATTTATTTTGTATAAGCTCTAAATCACAACAGAAGTCCTCTCAGGGGACTTTACAAAGTTTTGATTCACCAACAACCGATCAGAGAACCAAACAGTTCAGGGATCACCAATGTCAAGAAAGGTTTTTTACTTTCCTAGATTATCATTGTCCTCGCACCCTCCTGCATTGGCAATGAACTCAATAAAAAAGAAATCAAAAAAGTTACCCAGTTGAAACCAATCTTGAGCCAAACCTTTTTTTCTGTCCTAAATAAGGTAAAGATCAGACCAAATAAATGCATGCATCTCAAAACGAGCTAGGAACTATTGGACTATATCTAAATTCATCCAACCGTTCGTATTGTCTGAATAACGACCACTTTCGTCCAGGATGTACAAACTCCTGAGCAGTATGTCTGGCTCTATCATAAACAAATACATATTAAACATTGCATATCATTCCAGCGTCTCTCCAGTGTGCGTCCTCATTCTACCGTCCTCAAACCGGGGCTGTTGCAGGGATGTTGCAGCTTTATCCCTGCTGTCACTCGTGTTGTGCTTGTGACAGTCAGGGTCTGGTTCACGTCGGCTCGGCGTGGCCTCCAGAATGAAGTCACCGCATTATCCGAGCTCGCATTCCGTTTTCCATCCACTTCCAGGCCAAGGGTCGGTCTGAGCGGAGGAGCCCGGAGCCACGGATTTACTGCTACTGAGGGAGCAGTCGTGCCTCTGGTTTGGTACAAGTTTTGTGATAAAAACAAGACGTTTACATAGTTTTAAGCAAAAGCAATGTGTCATATGCAAAGTAATGAAGGCCTAAGGTTTATACAGCGTGTTTCTTATAAGTAATGAAAGGGAAACGCTGGCAAGAATAATGTAAGAATGTCAACATGGTAAAGCTGGGGTAGCTAACTTTCAAACCACATGAAATAGATATGATAACTATAGCTCTCAAAAGAGTCTTCACATTTTTTGTGTTTCAATCCACTGTTTCTGACGGAAAAAGATTGTACCTACATCTATCTATCTATCTATGTATCTATCTATCTATCTATCTATCTATCTATCTATCTGTACCTGTGTCTATATGTACCTGTGCTCCTCTCCCCTTTTTCCTGGTCCATTGTCATTGCCTTTGCTTGTCTTTGCCTGTTCCTGGTTCCGTTTGGATTTTGAGTTTGTTTTTTCATCTTGGACTTTGTAATTCAATAAATCAATATTATTTTTGCATAGGAGATGATTTTAATGTTTTAAAGTTTTTAACTTGTGTGATTTAATTTTTTATGTTTTTAATATATCTTGTGCTCTTAATGTGTTTGATTTATGCATGATGTGATATGGGATGTGAGGCGCTTTGCCTTGCCTTGTGTAGGAAAAGCGCTCTACAAATAAACGTTGATTGATTGATTGATAGGAGACATAAACATAGGTACCCCAGCTCTTGGTAAAATCATATTGGAGGGACTTGATCCGTAAAAGCTGCTTTTTATATTGTACACAAATATGTAGGAATACTGTGTCACACACCAAATATGGTATTTTTGAGAGGAACTGTTTTAGCAAATGGTATTTTTCTTGTTATCCCCGAAAAACATACATGCAGAATCTATTGATCTGAATAAATACTGATTTAAAAATACTGTGACACGCTCTAGTACAAGTTCTAAAATACAAAAACCTGTGAATTGAGTTGAGATCATACTATTCACGTACATAATATGGTAAATACAATGTTAGCTGTTTTATTGGACTGTCCCGGGGGTCTGGAGCCACAGGTTGAGAAACACTGGTATCAGGAACACGTCACATCCTTACACTGATCTTGTGTGAGTGTGAGAGTGAACGCCCTGTGGTGCTGTGGCTCTCTGACCTGGTCCACATGAAGACTGCTGTCGGAATTAGGACCACTGCCTTCACCACACACAGCAACACTACACAGGAGAATCTGTGCTACACAACTACACACTCTG